TTAACTACATTGACTGTTTGTAGCCACTGAGTGTTGATTCTGTTGCCTTCGCAAAGGCCAACATCGACGGCAACAGTTTTCCGCAAATTTAATTTTGCGCCAGCAGCTCTCTCGAAACGAGTGAACAGCCTATTTATCTCATCGATTTGCCTGGTCGATGTGACGATCACACTGATGTCGTCCGCATACGCCACTAGCAGATCATTCCCGCACACTCTTTCGAGTCTGCACACTAGTGGATGCAGGTAAAGAACGAAGAGATGCATTGATAGCGGATCCCCTTGCCGTACAGAGCGTTGAATTTCGAACGGACGAGAAAGGTGCCCATTGATCAACAGCCGAGAGGTGGACCGGCTGGCGATTCGCGATAGTAGAGCGATGAGATCCTGGTTGAAGCCGAGCGAGCGCATGGTTTCGAAGAGAAAAGAGTGCCGGACCCGATCGAAAGCGTGATCGAGATCAAAGCTGATTAACTTCCCGGCACGGCGGTGGTGGCGGAGATGTGCTATCCGGTCCTTGAGAGCAAGAGTGGCTTGAAATATGTTGTGCTCTGAGTTGGAGCATTTCTGCCCGTCGCTCAAGACGTGGTGCTCTCTCATCACTTGCTCGAGTCTGGTTTTGAGAATGCGGGAGAAGAGCTTGTAGTCGCTGTTGAGCAGCGAGATCGGACGATATGAACGGGCTGTGTCGTCGCCGCCTCTCTTCTTAACCAGCACGATGATGCCATCGACAAACGCTGGAGGAAGATTACCGCTGAGTGCTTCATTCAGCAACAGATTCAACTCTCGGTGGATGACGTCGAACATGCGGTGGTAGAACTCTCTCGGAATACCATCGCAGCCGGGAGATTTTCGTGGGGCGCTCGCTTTTATTGCAGACCAGATTTCTGCCGTCGTAATGTCGTCCGTGCAGGCTTCATTCGATGGGTCGTTGGGTGGGATAACACTCTCGCAGACGAAACTGTTCTCATTCTCTTCTGTTTCCTCCTCCGAGTACAGCGTCGAGAAGTAGTCCATCATATGCGTCTCGATCGCTCGTGGCTCTGCTACCGTTTCGTCTTGCTCTGTCTGCAGCTGCGTGATGACGGTTCTCTTCCTTCGCCTCTCCCCCAATTGGAATATTGACATGGGTTCTCCCGCCACATGTGTTTCATTCATTCGCATGAACGTGTAGGAAAATCTCCGTTGAAGTGCTAGCATTTCACCTTTCAACCGGTTTATGGTGGTTATCATTTCAGGGTGCTGGTAGTACCCGTCGTAGGCTAACCGAAGCTCGCTGTAGAGATACTGATGTTCACTGTGGAATTCATCGAAGACGGCTCGAGATTTCCACTTGAAAAAGCATTTGATCTTGGGCTTAGCGAACAAAATCCACCATTCGATCCAGGAGCCATAGTTTCTGCGCTGCCGGGTCCAATATTGCCACTGGTATTGGAACTCGGCAACGTTCTCGTCACTCAGAAGATAGGGCCGAAGGGACCAAAATCCACGGCCATGCTCTTGACCAAGATGGGGGAGACAAAGTCGGAGTACCAGCGCTTTGTGGTCGGTAAATGAGCAGACGTGTGCATGTGCTGCTCGCAGGTGATCGCGCAAATCACTGCTGACGTAAATACGATCGAGTCGCGACTGTGCGTTACGGCAGACGTACGTGAAACCTGGATCACGCGGACACAGTTTCTCCCATACGTCGTGGAGCTGCAGTTGCTGGACGGCTGTTTTGAGGGCGGGACTAGTGTTTGGGCTGCTAGAATAATCTTAATTGCTTAAACAAAGAACATAGTCTTCTCCAACTGCATATGGAGTGAATAAAAATTACAGATGCATTACTTTTACAACTGTCAAAATCCTATGAATTCAAACGCTAGTGTTCGTGAGATTCAGCTTGGCGAACTGATTTTTTTATGATTGTGGGCAGTCCCTGAGTTGATCCTGGATCCCAGAGGGACGGTAAGAATCCATTTACATCTTTGAGTAGAGCTTTTCATTGTTGATTGTGACGAAATTCATGTTCCAAGCGCATTTCTGGGTGGCGCTGTATTTAGTTCGGTCCATCGAAATTTAAACCTCTGAAAATGTTCTTGCAGTTCTAGTTCCTCATCAAATTTTCGATTATGCAGATGAAAAGGGCTTATTGGTTACCTCCCAAGTAACAATTTGGGTTTTATGAGGGTTCTGTAGATCATGATTTGAAGTTGTAGATTGCTTTAAAACCTCAATAAATGCTTGTGAACAATTTCCTATCGGAGGTATCCTGCCGCGATCAAGCGTTTGGTTTAACGTGTTATCCATAACAAATGTTCAACGGAGATGGGATGGGCATTGAAGTGTGCACGGGGAAAATATTTTAAAACGGGGAATTAAAGACAAGTGTTTCATATGCGGAAACATTCCTAAGTGCGTGTGTAGGAAAGAAGAAAACTAAAATAATAACAATAATAATAATAATAATAGCACCCAGCAGGCCTGGGTTCAATCCCAGTCGGCGCCGCCGGGATGTTCTGAGGCATAACATCTCTGATCACGCCTTCCTTCGGATGGGAAGTAAAGCCGTTGGTCCCCGGTTCATGAGTTGATGGGTCGATAGGTAGGGTCCAGGTGTGGGAGCTGCCTTCCTGGCACGTCGGTAGCATTGGTGCTCAGCACGGAAAACAAGATCGACGGAAAAAACAAACCAAAGGAAAAAAAAAAAAAAAAATAGCAATTAGGAGGTTGCAGTTAAAAGTTTATAGAATCATCAGGCTGAATGTTCTTACCTAGCTCATCTACGGATTGATGGCCACTCGTTGATGGACCTGGATCTATGCTGCTCACTAATTGTCACTAGTTGAATGTTGGATATTTACTTCATTTCCAACCGATCGGCATTTTTTTTCATAACTGGACTTCTATTATGTGATAACACGCTACGGCATGACTCACAAATGCTCATCGTTTCATCAATGTTGTGATTATATCCCATAGAATCTGTTTGTTTTTTTTCTACCGGCGTTGACGATATGGCCCGTAACTTATTTCGGTTGCATCTCGGATTATTTATATTTGCCCAACATTTCAACCCTTTGAGCCTTAATTTACTACTTTGGTCCATGATAATAATTTGACTAAAACTTGTCTTCACAACTTTCGTTATCAGATTGACTGCTGCTTGTATGAAATCAACCTTAGTTTTATAGTGCTCATAGGTAGAATGAAGTCAGACATGAAAATGATTTTGTAGGAAAAACTTTTTTTTTCCATAAAAGTGCCCATCTCGCGATGTATGGACGGATGGTAGTAAACATAATAACCTATCTTGAGGCAAAGTTTCATCCAACTCAAACAAGGCCATTTTTTAATCGACTTTTAATTTTAAAAACAGATTTTTTTTCAGTGTTGGTCTCAAATGATTTTTTTTTCAGTATTTTTTTTTTCGAAAAATTGAATACTTACTAAAAGTCATCCATACAACACATTTTTGTAGGAGTTGTCAATTTTCCATAATATATTTTTTTGAAAAAATGGTCCTTCTCAAATGTTATTCTAAATAAATCTTGGAAAACTGAGTATGCAAAAGTGCTTATTTAGTCAAAGTCTACACATCTAGAAAAATTAATTGAAATCTGAGAGGGTGTTGCCAGCTTCGATTCGATTTGGCGCGAAATGCGACTCATATCTCTGCCATTTTACAATCGAATTTCTATCTGTGTAGATCATTTGAATGGTATTGACTGAAATTTAGTTAGAAGGTAACTATTTAAATAAATTTAACAATTTTTATACACTTAAACTTTTCCTAAAACTCTCGAAACTTTGCTAAAGTTTTTGGAAATATGCTAAGTTACTCAGAACATTTTGAAAGTCTTGTAATTCAATTGATGATAATTGAATAGCTCTGAGGTTCTCTGATCTTCTCTGTTGGTCATGGAGATTTCTTGAAGTTTTCGCTAATTCTCATAAAGTGCTTCTTGGAAGCTCTGAAATAGATTCAAAATTTTCCTGAAATTCCAGTTTTATTTTAAACTGGTCCTTACGGATTATTAAACTTCCAAAACAATAATAGAATTACTTACATGTGCTTCGTTGTTTTGAGGTCGACATATGCCAGCGTAACTTTCAACATAATATTGAATCACTCAAGACGCGAAGCTACATATTTTTGATCCCGTGTAAAATAAGTTTACTCTTTGTGTAGTCAGCATCTCTGTCGATCGATTGAATAGATTCTTCGTGTGAAACACCAAAAAAGCAATCTCACGTGTTTGTACTTTAACTCACAACGGAATTCAAACGTCGCAAAAAGCATCATGCTGTCAGTTCCCAAAATATCAAATTCCGTCACAGTTCTTATCATAGCCAAACAACGGCAAAATGTCGCAAAACAAAAAAGACTCACTCTCCTGACAGCATTCGTCATTCGGTCGCAATCATGGTCCACTAGGAATGCCGCTGTTGCCGCTGCTGTGCCTAAATTACACCTGCAGTGCATCATAAAACCACTGAATCAAGAAGAGTAAAGCTTCAAAAAGCCTATGGCTCTGGGGTCATTATCTCCGTACGTACATGCATCATCACCCATTTTTAACGAGTCAACTAACGACTCGAAGCAGGTGCTAGTAAAACGATAAACCCTGTCTTGTTTCGTCGTCTCCGTGGGAGCACAGCATCAGTATCAGGCGCAGTGCAGAAACACCCACCCACCTTACTCTAATGTTTGCACTTTGATTAAGAAACTGGAGCTGGAAATCGCCAACGTAAACCGAGAGATTATCGTGTGGTACGGAAATGTGTTTTGTTTTAATTTTCCATCGGAGGGAAACGACAGCTCTATAAAGTAGATTGGCCCTTCATTATATTATCAATCATATTAGTTTCGTTTGATTATATCTCTGTCATTGAGTAGATGCGCTATTCGTTTTGAAGTAGTTGGCTCAAGGTATACAGTTTACTTTCTGTTATTTTTTTTTTTCGAACCACAAACTGAACTAATCAAACATTTTCCCAATTTCTAATCCCGTTTAGTTCACCATTACTGGTGGATTGCGAGTGAGTACCGGAATCGAAATCGTCTTTTATTGTTTGTTTTGGATTTTTTTCCCTACGCGTCATCATTCCTTGCTAAATCAAATAAATAGAACCAGTAGATTAGATTGAAGTTTTCTCTCGAATTAAATTTTCATCCAATTTTCCGCTCAACTTCATTCAAGGTTTTTCTTGACTTTTTCAGAGTAGACTAGATTTTGCATGTGTTCAAACTTACTTCAACTACTTAAATAAACTTTCAAACTCGTTCCCATTCCATTTCACGCATAAAATCAGTCACAACAGATACTTTCCATCTCGAAACTCTCGGATTTCATCATTAACCCTTCGCCCCCTTAATAAAATCCCAAACTGATCTGTTTATGCAAAATGTGATTGAATGGCGGGTCAAGGCATAAACTAACACTTACGGATGGGTGTTGGGATGTGACCTTTTTTTTTGCACTAAACTAAGTCCATAAAAGTCTGTTTTTTATATCTCGGTTGCTTTTCCCAACACAACATGGGTCAGCCGGAAGTAATTTTATTATGGAAATCAAACACGGAACCTGCATTCCCCTTTCACCCGTCCAATTAAGGCTTGGTTTGAAAGTTTTTCCAGTTTCAGTTCTACGCTTACGTATCTTTGATTTGCTTTTGCTTTCTGAGAGCTAGTTCTGAACATTGGCTTCGAAATTGCCGTTTGACTTTTGGCATGAAACTCATTTTGGTTTTGCATTTTAGAAAAAAAATCTCGATGTATATTTGATCAGTTAACAATTGTACGGAACATAAACGATGGGAACGAATGCGTGCGCCACTTACAAAGCTTTTGCTGCACTTGCCACTGTCTGAGGTTAAGTGCAACACGGGTATTGCATGTCTGTAAAATACCCGTTGGGTTGGAACAATTATAGCCAAACAATCGATGTTATTGACAAGCTTATATTATTGGCCATGGATTTTATTGGCAGCTGCTACCAAATTTGATACGTTTTCTAGGCACCAAAAAATGTCACGGATCGCTCAATTAAATTAAAACAATACCTACATTTTCAATGAATTTGTTCCTGCTAAACAGGGATGTAAGATTTGAAGACAACAGAAATTCTGGGGAGAAATTTTTTTCAGCAGGCATTTTGAAGACATTTAATGTTTTGTAAAGATTTTTGGAGACATGCTGTAACCGCGGCGGGAGCTCGAAGACCGTTCGGTATGGATAAATTTCCTAAAACCTTCACCACGACCCGTATTACGATATGATAAGAACTATTTCCGTAAGAGGCAAACGAGAGTAAGATGCGCACTGTTTAGAGATTTATTTTGACTGATTTGATATTGGTTTGCGTATAGCTATATATGGGAATTCAGTCCAGAAGGGATAGATGAAAAGGCCTTTCCTACTCTCTATCGAGATCAATTTCTCTCCCTAGCTGAAGGCCAGTGATAGCAGAAGAAAGATTAATAATTACATTCTGATGGAAGTAAACGAGATCGATAGTGCTATCTTATACCTTATCTATATTAGTGCATGAGATTTTGTTGAAATCGGAAGAAATTCATTTTAATCCTAGGGGATGCTCCAACATATGCCGGCCCCTGTTGAAAGGTTTGCACCTTTTAACCGACTTAACTGCGACGAGTGATGCTGAGAGATGTTTCCTGATCGAATAATGGTTCCTGGTGTGTCGCCACAATACGGTAAGACTCGCCGGTCTCACCATCGATTTAGATTCTGGTACTTCTCAACACCGTAGATTAGCGACACCGGTGAGCAAACCAGGTTGTGCTCGATTGTTCATGTTACTGAACAACAACTTCTTGATTATGACGACGTTCTCGTAGCGATTCAGGGGGTTGCGTAGATCGTCTCGATGTCATCGGGGTTGGGCATACTCAATGGTTGCCCATCGGAGTAGCCATGTATGCGCCGCACATGCCGGAGTACAAACATTCCATTATTTTTTGAAAATTCATTATAAAACAATACTTACAGGGTACGGAGGCCCAAGGGCCTCCGTTCGTTGCGCAATATTGAGTACTGCGATGGAAGAGCCTAGTGGTCATCTGGGTTGCCACCGGGTACACCAGTTGATTCGGTTGTTGTTTGACGAATGGGAAGCACACAAATCCTTGCGATGCCGCGCCGATATTCTCCTTCTGTTGTCCGGACATCTACTACCCGTATATTGTCATCGTCTCCACGGTATACATTGCTGACTCTTCCGTATCTCCACTTCAGAGGTGGAAGATTATCGTCTTTCAGAAGAACCATCGTTCCTACGGTGATGTTGTCCCGTATTTGTGTCCACTTGGTACGAGGGTGAAGGCCAGACAGGTAGTCGATAGTCCACCGTTTCCATAAGCGCCGTAGAAGCTCTTGATTCTCCTGCCAGCGGTCAAGCCGATTTTGAGGTACCTCCGAAAGGTCGGGTTCAGAAAAGCAAGTAAGAGGACGATGGACGAGGAAGTGACCCGGCGTTAAAACTTCCAAGTCATTGGGGTCAGCCGTAAGAGGAGTTAACGGTCTTGAATTTAAGCAGGCTTCGATTCGAGTCAGCAGGGTGACGAATTCATCCTGAGATAGGACGGAGTTTCCAACGGTTCGACGAAAGTGATGTTTGAAGGACTTCACCGCCGCTTCCCACAACCCGCCAAAGTTTGGGCTGCGTGGAGGAATGAATTTGAACGTTATTCCGCCGTCTGCACAGCGGGTAACTATTTCACCCTGACGTTGTTGTGAACGAAACTGCTTCGCCAGCTCTTTCAGTTCCCTTGCTGCTCCTTTGAAGTTTTTTGCGTTGTCACACTCTATAAGGTTCGGCTTGCCTCTTCGAGCGATAAACCGATGCAGCGCTGCTAGGAACGCTACAGTGGAGAGGTCGTAGACAAGCTCTACATGAACTGCCTTAGTGACAAGACACACGAAGATGGCTACGAAGCACTTTGTTGGAGGAGCCCTGTTGCCTTTACGATACTGGAATGGTCCACAAAGATCTACCCCGGTGTTGAGGAAGGGCAACGTTGGAGTAACTCTTTCTGGAGGCAGATCTCCCATGAGCTGCTCGAGGCTACGAGGATTAAAGCGAAAACAGCTTATGCAAGCGTGCACGATGCTTCGTGCCAAGTTTCGAATGCGAATTGGCCAGAACTTTTCCCGGACACATGCTACAAGCAGCTGAGGTCCGGCGTGTAAATTTTTCAGGTGATAATAGGTAACAATTGACTTGGTAAGGGGATGCCGTGCCGGTAGGATTACAGGATGTTTCCTATCCTCGGGTATAGCCGCGTGTCTAAGACGGCTACGGATTCTAAGGATTCCGTCGACGAGAATTGGAGCAAGGTTTCGTAAGTCCGAATTGGGTGCAACCTCACTGTTGTTGGCTACTGCTGCGATGTCTTTAGCGAAAACTTCGAGTTGTGCCAACCAAACTAGGTTGCTGGTGGCTTCAGTGAGTTCCGAAATACGTAAGAATCCATAAGTGCGATCATGGCGATTGCCGGGCTTACTGTTGTGACTAAAGCGACGTAGAAGAGCAACGATACGAACGAGAGCCGGAAACGACGATCGAATGAAAAAAAATTCATTTGGTGAAGACACCTGCACCGGTAGTGAAACGGTTCTCTCTTCCAGTAGATCAGGCGGTAAGTCGAAAGATGTTTGTTGCGTTAGAGGAGGCCAAAACCGTGACGGTTGGCTCAGCCATGCAGGGCCTTTCCACCAGGATGATGTGTCTTGCAACTGTGTCGGATACATTCCACGGAAGATGATATCCGCCGGATTTTCTATACCAGGTACATGTGCCCAAATGCCGTTGATCGTGAGATGCTGCACTTCCGAAACTCTGTTGGCAATGAAAGTCTTCCACCGCGATGGAGTTGACCGGAGCCAGTGTAGGGTTATCATCGAGTCAGTCCAAAAGATGGCCTTTACCTTTAGCGCTGTGCTGGTTTGAACCTTCTGGTAGAGATGGCTCAACAGAAGTGCTGAAGAGAGTTCCAACCTAGGCAGACAAATACGTTTCTGCTTCTTCAAATCACCAAGAGGTGCTACTTTCGACTTGGCAGCCAATAGATGTACGACAATCTTCCCGTCGGTCGAAACGGTTCGCAGATAGATGCAGGCCCCATAAGCCTTCTCAGAGGCGTTACAGAAGCCGTGAATTTCAATTGATACGCAAACGGACTTGGGGGCTGCCCATCTAGGGATGGTGATCGATGCTAGTCCATGTAAACTGTTGCGGAACTCCAACCAATGCTGCTGTTGGAGCTCGTCTAATGGATCGTCCCAGGATTCAGACGTTCGCACGAGAGATTGGACAAAGATTTTAGCAAGGACTATCACCGGGCCAATCAACCCAAGTGGGTCGAACAGTTTTGCTGTGTCTGACAGCACGGTTCGTCTTGTGATTGTGTTAGTTTGGGACCATTTGGGAACGGAATAGTGGAGTAGATCCGTCGATGGTTCCCATATGAGTCCAAGGGTTTTGATGGTTTTTGGGGAATCTAGTTCAAGTACGGCTCGTTCTTCACGCAGTTCTGGCGGTATGACCGAGAGAATAGACGGCGAGTTGGACGCCCATTTACGTAAATTAAAACCAGCAGACTGCAACAGGTTTCGCAATTGTCTGCATAATTCCCGTCCTTCTTCTTCGTCGTCGACACCGGTCAGCATATCATCCATGTAAAAATCCTTCGACAGGACATCTGCCGCTTGAGGAAACTGATCAGCGCCTTCCTTTGACAGCTCAAGAAGACATCTTGTAGCCAAGTACGGCGCGGAGGCAGTACCGTAGGTAACGGTGGTTAGTTCGAATGTTTTGATCGGTTCCGAAGAGGAGAACCGCCAGCGAATACGATGCAATGGAAAATCAACAGGGTGAAGACGAACCTGTCGATACATTTTCTCAGCATCGGCAATAATCGCAAACTGGTGCATCCTAAAGCGAAGCGATGTATCCTGTACGTCTTCCTGCAACACAGGACCCACTATCAACGCTTGATTAAGGGATACTCCGCTGTCC